AGACTCACCTGTTAATTTACATTTTCGAACTACTGAATCTTTAGCAAGGCCTTTGGTAAAGTATCACCAAGCTCCAGATCCAACCTGGAAAGGCCCTACACCACTGATCACCTGGGGTTGTGGTTATGCTGCCACGGAAGATCCTTCTACTGAACAAGCAGTGTGGGTTCCAGTACACTGTGTTTGTCTGTATCATGGTATGGCATCAGGGCCTTCACAACCTGATTCCAGATTTCAATCTTCATCTGAACACAGAAGCCCGGCTTCCAAGTTCAAAGCGCCCACAACCCATCCCTTGGGGTCAGGTTAAATCTACTACATATCAAGCTCAACAACAACTGCAACAGGCCTCATTACCTCAGACTCCTGAAAATCTTGTTGCTGCTGTTTTTGCTATTATTACTGCTAATTCTGTTACAATTTTACTTTGTATTTTTTTGTTTATGGTTAATGGTGTTTCTGCTCAAAATGACACTTCTGTGGTTCATCTTAACCCTAATTTGTGGGTTTGTCATGCACAATATATGTTTATGACCCATGGCACAAATACTACTTTATACTATGAGCCCCCAATAGCATTTGGTCAAATTTCTTTTACCCCTAACTTGATCATGTCTTCTACATTTATTATCTCACAACTACAAACTATTTCACACTCCTGGCTATTTTCTAAACCCCCTATGCAATTGAATTCTGTCTGTTGGCGTTACTTGAAAGTTAGTCAATTTACAAGGGGTCTGTGTTTCTGTTGTCACACTAAACACACTTGGCTTCATAACTGGTCTGATTATGATGCTGCTCAGCACATATTAAAAAAGCTAGGGGATTATAGTTATTGTTCTAACTACTATTGGTTGTCAGGTACCTTTAATTCTTCTTTGTATGGACTTAATATAGCTCCTAATATGTATCCTGACAATTTTCCTATTTTTAATGCCTCTGATCACTCTAATACAGGATCGATATGCGCTGGTTGGCAGCTTAAGAATCCTAATAATGTGGTTCTTTTTTGATAAATATGCCACTAATGTTCATTCCCAGAATTTTTCATTCTTTGAATAAAACTATTAAGGATGAGCTTGCCAATTTACAATCATACATTCAAAATAATATCCATGCTCAGTACTCACCTTTTGAGTGGCTAACCAATTGGCTCCCTGATTGGTCTTGGCTCAGACAGTTTTTCTTTTATGTTATAATTATTATTATTGTACTAAATGTAACCTGTTGTTTTATTCAATGTATTCCAAATTTGTTTGCATTGTTTTGTTCTACTTCCCCCTCTCTTAATCCTCTACAATTGAGATACATTCATAAATCTTTGAATCCTCCATTTAAAATAAAAAATGAGGATATGTAGAGTTGTAATTGCAGGAATGTTATTATCTTGATGGCAAACCTCAGGTAATGAAGGTTCCAAAGCAAATACAACTCAGGCAAACAAAATCACTAATGTAAAGAAGGATTAGAGAGAGGAAGTAAACATATGTTAGACTTTAACTAGAGATAATTAATTGTGTTAATTACTATGCTAAACAGTAACGAAAGCTGAGCAGAAACTGAAGTTAACCAATGTTAGAGGATTACTAAAAATGTGTATAAATGCAAGACTAGACTCCAATTAAGTTCATCATGATTCATTTGATCATGATCAAACACCTCGACTGCCTCGTCATTACAACAGTTTGCCTACAAACTGAAAAAGGGAAAAGAGAAGAAACTGATGTGAAAAGATGTGAAGAGGAAAATGAGATTAAAAATAAAATAATTCAAGAATTTTATGAAAAATTATATGATAAAGAAAAAAATTAGGAAGAAATGATGATATAATACTTGGAAAGAGCTAAAGTACCAAAGAACATCAAAGTATATTAAATGAGAACATCAAAGATATGTTAAATGAAAAAATAATGATGATGGAGCTGACAGAGATGACAAAGAGGCAAAAATAATAACTCCAGGACTGGTTGTATTACCAGCAGAAATATATAAACATCTACAAGATACCTTAAGCCTGTCAATGCTAGAGGTACTGCTAGAGGCCTAAATACCAAATATTTGGACAGAGCAAATATTATCTTAATTCTAAAAGAAGAAACAAATTTGATACAAGTAAAAACTATAGGCCAATATCATTACTAAATGCAGATTACAAAATATTTGCATCAATAATGGCAGAGAGACCTAAAATAGTTTTAATGAATTTATTCATCCAAACCAAAATTGATTCCTACCAAAAAGACAAATAAAAAACAATGTAAGATTTATTTTAGATACACTGGAATATTATGAAACATATTCAGAAAAACAAATGTTGATCTTTTTAGACATGCAGAAAGCATGTAAATTGGCAATTTATGATGAAACAGCTAGATTGTATGGACTTTGGAGAGAAATTTATAAACATGATTAAGACAATATACTACAGACAAACAGCAAAAGTAATAGCCAAGGCACAAGATAAGGATGCCCATATCCCCATTGCTATTTATATTAACACTGGAAGTGTTAAACAAGAATATTAGACAAGATGTAGAATTAAAAGATATAGGAATAAAAAAAGAAAAATATAAATTACAAGTATTTGTGGATTATTTGATATTCATCCTAGAAGAACCATTGGAAACTGGTCCCAAATTAATGACAAGAATAGAAAAGAATGGGGAAGTAGCAAGATTGAAAGTAAACAAAGAAAAAAATAGTTAAAAATCTTATAGGCAAACAAAAAAATGAACTAACAAAAAAGACAGACCTTCAGATAGTCAAGAAAATTAAATACTTGGGAATATATTTAACAGCAAGTTGTGCAACAATAAAAGAAGATAACTATATAAGGCTACTACATGAAATAATTTTGGAGGAATGTATAAAATTTGCAATTATCAATGGTAGGAAGAATAGTGACTATAAAAATGGATATTCTACCAAAACTACTTTTTTTGTTTCAAACAATTCCTATAAAAATAGAGAAAAAAATATTTTGATGAGCTAAATACAACAATTTTGAAATTTATTTGGCAAGGAAAGAAAGCTAGAATAAGATTGAAAATGTTGCAAGAATCCAAAAACAATGGTAGATTTGGGCTACCAGATGGGGAACTATATTACCAAGCATGCATATTAACATGGGTGAAAGAATGGATAACTCTCACACATAGAAGATTACTGTAGAAGGTCATGAACTCCAGTTAGGATGGCACACTTTTTTATGGTATGGTAAGAACAAAAGTAATAGCTACTTCCAAAGACATTATGTAAGGAATGCTCTATTTTTAGTATGGGAAAAGGTGAAAGCAAAAATTTATATAAAAATACCAGGATGGCTTTCAACAATGGAAGCATTTGTTCACCCAAATCTAGTAAACCTGGAGAAAATTTTAACATATAAAAATATCTTAAATGCAAAGGGGAAACTAAAAATTAAACAAGAATTACAGAAACAGGGTGTTGATTTATTGTGATAGCCACAAATGCAAATGCAAGTGAGATATGAGAAAGATGTTAAGACTTATGGTTTTTATAAAGAGCAAACAACATTTAATCAATGTTAATGGTGGATGAAAAGTTAATTAAGAAATTATATAATTTTTTATTAAGCCTAAAAATGGAAGATGAATAGGCAAAAGAGGCAATGATAGATGAACTTTGGACATACCATAGAATTAGATGATTGGCAAAAGCTCTGGGAAAGAAACTATAAATTAATGATGGCAACTACATATAAGGAAAACTTATACAAAATGTTTTATAGGTGGCACTTACCACTGGCTATATTAGCCAAAATGTTGAAAAACATGTCTGCTAAATGTTGGAAATGTAATCAAATGTTACATTTTCATCCAACTGTAAACTCTGGGTACATATTATCACATGTGGTGGACATGTCCAAAGGCAAAAAAAAATGGACGAAAATTCATACGTGGTTAGAAAAAATGTTAAAGCAGCATATAGATTATAAACCAGATTTCTTTTTGTTAGGCATATTACCAAAGAAATATGATAAAGGGAATGTATATTTAATATTACATGTTTTGACAGCAGCAACAATTGTATTTGTGCAACACTGGAAAAATGAGGAAACATCCACAGAAGAAATAATTTAAAAAGATTAGATTGTGCAGAAATGGACAGACTAACATTAAAGATAAAAGAAAAAGAAGACACAGAATATTTTCAAACTTGGGACTTGTTTTAACAATGATTGTAAAATAGAGGTAGAAATTAGGAGTTTAATGTTGTTATGTAAACTGACTCAGACAGTACGCTGTTCACTATGCACTTATTGTATATGAAGAGAAAATATATAAATAAAATTAAAAAAAAGAAACTATTCACTTCTGAAAGCTTGTCAAAAAAAGGAGTGGTTACACATTAAATTTCACTTTCACACGCAAATTCTGTTTAATCACATACACTTTTAAGGCTCCCTGATTTTTTTCCTGGAACCATTAGGTCATGTATCCAAAACAAGAAGTCCCATTTCATTCTGTATATGAACCATTTATTTATTTGTGGGGAGGGAGGGAGCAGGAAAGCAGCCTTTAAGTGGAATGGACTAAGTCAAGGTTGAAAGGTTCCTGAATTAAAGTGATTGTTCCTATATGCTTGCTAAAAATTTTAGACTCATTTTGAAGAGGAAAAAATAAGCATAACTCCAAATTGTATCAAGACCATTGTCCTCTAAGCTGAATTACTGCAGCAATGGGTCAGAAGAGGAAGCAATTTTGCAGATTCACCTTTGCTTCTGTTCCATCCAATCTAGAATGGATTAAAGACTTTCTTAGAACAGAGTGAGTAGTGAATTTAAAGGGAAATTATGAGAATCACCTTTTGTTTAACAAGAACTGGAACTCATTCACACAGCCCTTTGTGAGTATGTGGATCCAGATTGTCATAATGTGTATTCAATAAAGGAGCAAACACTTTAAAGACACTGTCCATCTATATTAATTTGGGAGTAGAAATAAAATTTCACTTAAGTATAATAAACTTTTCTTTACCTGCAATATTCCCAGCTGCATTCTGTAAAAGTAATTGGATGCAGTAGGAGTGGATATAATAAGCAACCTCCGTTTTTCATAAAACTGATCTAGAAGAGCTGCTGCTGTCCTCACACCAATATTAATATTCATAGCTGAAAAATATACAAACAAAAATCATGCTACTATGTTCATATAGAAACTTGAAAATAAACCACAAATCACATAGAAAAGGAGACAGAAAAAGTCTTAGCTAATGCCAAAGTTTAAAAAGTTTTTCCAGCTCCTGAAGAAAGATCAGCCTTTTGTATACAGTTTCAACAGATCCTATAAGAGTGCCAGAAATGGGCTCCAAACCCTTTCCCCGCCTTCAAATCCAGACCACACACAACCCAATTAATTGTAACATTTGAAGTTATTTTTAAATTGGTGATGTAGAGCTTTGCATTTGAAAGGAGAAAGGTGCTCTGGAAAATTAGAGTTTGCTCAAGCAGCATCAGCCATCAATTTCCTAAAGCACCTGGATCTTTTTTTTTCCTGGATTGCTTAGCAGCACAACTGTCACCCTCCAAGAAGTTTTCCTGACATCTCTTGCTGCTTGACTCTTGCTGGTTGCCATGGAAATGGGGGGGGGGGGAATAATTTGGTGTTTGAGGGGGGAAGGGTGCTGGAAGGGATGGGACTAAAACTGATGGGACACTTTCCTGATTACTGTGCAACTGCATACACTTATCTTTTCTAGGCCAAGGTCAACCATCTTGGCATACCAGATGTGTGAGACGCCACCTGAAGATGTACCCCACATGACATTATATACAGCTCAGATTGGATGACCAGTCTGAACTCCTGGGGGAGGGAACTTGGAATAATTTTCAATATGTAATTTCCGCACTTATTTTCTCAGAACTTGCTTTCCTTTGTTGCTATCACTTCAAATTCAGTAAAAGTACTTTTCTTTATTTTAATAGAGACTAAGATTTTCTTTCTTGGATTTTGAATGGAAGCACAGCTGACAACCACCCCAGGAGAAGACTCATTTAATTTAAACAACTGCAAACAAGTGCTATGTGAGCAATTATACATTCTTTGGAAGACCTTTTCGCCTTTGAGTTCCCAGTATTAGAAATAGAAATAAAAAATAAACAAGAGATAGAAATAAAATCTCAATCTAACCCTCCCTTCATCTCTCCTTCTAACTTTATTATATGGCTTTTATCAATATTTATCCAAAAAGACCAAGAAATCCACAGAATAAGAATTGGATAGAGAGAAATATTCAAAGTTAGAGAACATCCATGGATTTTCATAATCCAAATTTACTTTACTTTACTTTGTTCCACAAAGCTCTTTGTTCCAATTCTGAACATTACAGCATCATTTGTTTTTTAGGTTTATAAAAGAATTGAAAATTATAATGGGAGAAAACTTTAGAAAAGAAATAGAAAGCTAAGTATAGTTATAGATTTTTCTATAAATTTCCATATATGTCTAACACTGAAGATGTACAGAAAAAGAGAGAACTTTCTTGGCTTTAATAACAATGATACAAAGATAAAAAGCAATGCTATTATGTTGACTGCCATTTTGTCAGTCTATTTACAAAATGAAATAAACATTTTTTTATTGCTTATTGGCAAAATATTGTCCACTTAATCTACATGTAAGTTATGTTAACAAAAAAAAAACTTGAAGAAACTTGAAGGGGTATTAGGTTAAGCTGTGTTTCAAATAATGCATATAATCCTGAGCTATATTCTTCTCTCTTACAGGATTTATTCATTACTCACGTACGTGTACAGGTTGGCTCTGTTCCTGACCAGCCTAAATTATACTGGCAAACTCTTGCTGGACTTCCCTGCAATTCGTACCCACCAATGCAGGAAAAGTCACAAGTTGCACCATAATTATCTCCATCACCAGAACATTTTATGTAGCCATTGTCTGGGGCATTCAATTTTCCACAGCGCCTAACTTTAACAAAATAACAAAATTCAGTATTCATCATCATTCCGGTACATCAAAATGAAAACCTAGTACTTCTTGAAAGATGTATTTATTTCTAGTTAACTAATTAATAGGCAGTACATGATTAATATCTATTAATTCATGGGATAATAATAAGACTATCTGGGTAACAATCCTGTTTTTATACAGCACTATCATTTATAAAGCTGAACTCCCAATGATCCTAAAGCCAGAATAATGCCATTTATTATATCTGTTTGCTATGATGGGAATTTCAACTACAAACTGAATTGGATTGTTTTATTTCCTAAGTGCAATGTATCACATTAATAAATGGAATGCAATGCTCACGTCTAATCAGCAATTTAATCCTTTATATAATTACATGAACATAGATGATGGTATAATCAATGGTGGGATTAAAATTATTTAATAACCAGTTCTCTGCCCTAATGACTGACTGGGTGGGTTTGGCTGGGGTGATCATGTGACTGGGTGGGCATGGTCAACTTGACGTCACTCATGCCAAGGGGCGCCTCGCCTCGCCTCGCCTCACCCCTCCCCTCACCACTCCTCTCCCAGCACTGTTTGGGACTCTTCCCCCTCAGATAGTGTCTGGGAGGGCAGGCACTCCCATACTCCACCTTGGCCAGGCAGGGAGAGCCAGCTGGTGGAGGGACAATGTGGGTGATGTAGCCTCATGGCCACTTGCTGCCCACCACCCATTGGCAGCCATCGGGGTGAGATGCAGACTTGGGGAGAGGGCTGACCGGCAGTGGTGTAGCCCTAGCTTGCCTTCTTCACTGCCATTAACTACAGGAGGAAGGAAAGGGCAGGCTGAAATTGGGGGTTGAGGCCAGCTGGGAAAGCCGAACTGCTGTCCACAACTGCCAGCGGGATCGGGGGAGGTGAGGGCTGTGAAGTGTATCTGGCTTGAAGTTTCCAGCCCTTTCTTTGTAAATCTGCCCAGAAGAGGGAAGGGAGGAAGCCCCACACCCGGCATCTTTGTTGGACATGGAGTCCTCACCAACTGGTCTTGCCTGACTGCCTCTCTGAGGCCAGGGTCGATCATCCCTTCATGCGTGGTCCCCAGGAGACTACCCAGGAGCACCTGGTGTGCTCAGGCTAGGCTGGCTTGCAAGGCATTGGCAGGGGTGGCAGGGGCTGGGATTGCCACTTGGGGAATGCAGCCAGGCCTGAATCTCCACGCATTCAGGCTTTTCCCCACTCCAGCCTCCCAACCATATGCCTAAACCCATGGAGGTGAAAGAAGCAGAGAGGACTGGCTTTTCACGTAGGTTTATCTGGCTGTTTGGGGGGGGGGAATAGATGGGGGTCTGAGGAGGATGTGCCTTGCCTGCCACTGCTGCTGGCAGGTGTGGGCATCCATGGACCACAAGGCCACCCACATTGCCCCTCTGCCAGCTGATCCTCACACACCAGCTGGCCCACCTGCCGGCCTGTGCTCTTTGACTGAGCATGGCAAGCCCAGAGCAGGTCTCCGTCCCCTACTGTTGGCTTTACCTTCACAAGCAATCACAGTGAGCAGAGCAGTGTGAGCCCCGCAGGCTGAAGGTGGCCAGGGACCAAAATGCTACTTTGTCACATCACCCGTCCACCAGCCAGCCCACCCCCACACACCAGCACCCTTTGAACAAATATGGCGGGCCTGGGATGATTCTTCCTCCTCCACCATTGGCCTTACCTTCTCCAGACCCTCATCTGTTTTCCCCTCAACAGCCAGACAAACCTAGGCTAAGAGCCATCCAGGCAAGGAGTGGCTGGGAGGAGAGGGGTAGGGGCAGGGGCAGCCAATGATAAGATCAGCTAGTTCACTGAACTGCAGAAGAAGTTAGCTACCGGTTCACGTGAACCACTGTGAACCCGCTAAATCCAACCACTGGGTATAATTATCTAAATCTGAGAGAAAATTTGCTATCCTCAAGAGTAAATCCCAACAGTAAATCCCAGCACTATATGTAATAGAGATTATGGTGTAGTAGTTCAGTCATACAAAATGCATCAACTTATTATCTTCAATGTTCTTGAAAAAGCTGGCTCCTATTTATTTTGTATTGTCCACATCAGCCTGAACCAGTGTAATACCTTCCAGATATATTGGAACTGTAACTCTGAATATTGGCTGTGATGGGTACATTCAAGAAGCTAGTCTACATCTCTGAATAACATGTGAGTGTGGTTTGGGTTCAATGATTGTGCTTGTTTTTAGCTGGAAAGAGATCTTACCTCTGACTTTGACCAAAAATTTGCAAGTTTTCTTATTCCCAGCTCTGTCATACACAGTATATTGAATTTTGTGATCTCCTTCTGAAAAATATGAGCCTGGTGGAAGTCCTTTCAAAACAACACTAAAAATGAAATAAAGTAATGTTAACTTTTATAAAGACAGCAATGTCTCATTCTTGCAGCATATGTTTTAGAGAATATGGATATGTTAATATTATACTTATCTGGAACTTCTGAGAATCTGACTTTTTAAAACACCATCTACTGATATGCAACAACAACAATACTATAGCGTCACAAGTAGCTTCACACTGCAATGAACAAGGACACGTTCAATTTTGCAGCTACTAAGATTATTGGACGAGCAGGCACAAAAACAGCCAGGGCAGTGAAACAGACAACAGGAGTGATGATTTTCCACCAGCCTATCAAGTACTTAAAAAGGCAAGGGCTGGACAGCATAAGCAAATAATAGCTGATGCCATAAAAGCCAACCACCAACACACCCCAATCAACATTTAAAAAAGCCAGTTACAACAGGCACTATAAATACCACACACAGAACAGCACACACTCTGCAAGAGAGAAGTTTCCTGAAGATGGGCTCCAGCATGAATCTGAAAGCTCAGAAGATAAAACCTCTGGTCCTGGTGACTGACCTAGATTGGATCCTGCAACACTGTATATGGATATAAAATCTGCACTAGCTATATAAAAGTTGATCTTGTATTACTTGTCAATTACTTCTATAAAATTATTTGGATTGCATGTTTGAAAGAAAGGACTAGGAACTAAAATGCTGTAAACTTCTCAATTCATACTAACTTGTAGAGCATTATGTATTAAATTAAAAGTATATAAACTTAAAAAGTGTTTTTCATCTACAGCTTTTACATTTATAAACTGCCACTTTATTGTTCAATTTACTTTTTACATCTTTACCCACTCTGTCAAAATGCCATCAGCAGTATCCCGTCCCTCTGGAATATCCCAGAATACCCTAGATGTTAATTTATTGGGTTCTGCTATTTTCTCCTTTACACTTGGACACTGAATTCTTGGAGGTTCCATATCTGTAAATTAAAACACAGACAAACATAATGATTTGTTTTAAGCTAGTGTTACAACACAGAACATTTTTAAACAATAGTAATAACATTAACTCACAAACTGCTACCAGGACAGTTAAAATTAAACTGTTGAATATTAAAATGATACCAATGAAATATCTAAAATACTAGAGAACTATTTATAACACCATCTATGCAAAGAAATAAAATGTTTCACACAAAGTGATTTCTTGTCTACTCTTAATTTTAGTTACCTGTGCTGTTCAAAATTTTTCTAATTTTGTAAAAATAAGCACTTTTTCTATTCAAAGTGCTGTTCTATTCAGTCTTCAGTTTTTTACTGCATTATAATTGGCACCCCTACTTTTTTAAAATACTTTTTTTTCATTTTTATCATTCATGATGTATTTCAATGAAATTTGATTTATTTGTAGACAATCATTACTAGCAGGCCAGTAAAAACCAAACTAAAAACTAAAAGTTTAGTAAAATTTGCACCAAATTTCAAAAATCTGGTATTAATTTTGAAGAAAGTGGAATTATTCAAATTAAAATAGATGGAAGAAGACTAGGAGACTAAAGCTTTAAAGTTCCATTTGCAGACTTTTAAATATTTTGCTTGCCTTTGGATTGAAATGAATATTGAAACTATATGAAACTTTATACTGGGTATCCATTTTTGCTGAAAGTCTCTGTGTTCCCAGTAAAGTATATATAGCCTGAAGCTATATAGCCAGGGGTGGGATTCTACCGATTCAGACCGATTCAGGCGAACCAGATGTTAAATTTGCATCTGGTTTGCCAGCCAGTATTTGAACCAACCGGCTGGCCACACCCACCCCTCCCCTCCCCTCCTAGGAGTCTCCACATGGCCCATTTTCGATGCACGTAAGTGCAGGGTCCGTGCAGAGGCTCTGGGAGGGGGAAAAACACGCCTTCCGGAAGTCCAGAAACGGGCTTGTTTCCGGAGAGTCTCCAGAGCCCGTGGGAGGCATTTTTGCCCTCCCAGAGGCCCAAGGGAAGCCTCTGGACCCTTGGGAAGGCAAAAAATAGCCCTCCCAAAAGTTCTGGTAGTCCACTGTGGTAATATATTTTATTGGTCATTTTCTGTAAGTCCTTTGTACAGCCATTTCAAGTGCCAGACCACCACAAACCACACCCACCAATGACCATCCAGCAACTGGGCACCGAACCAGTTGCTGGGATATCTGAATCCCATGCCTGTATGTGGCTTCATGTTCTTATTTGTACAAATCAAACTGGTTTATACATTACTTATGTCAAAAATGAATATATACATCTATTGGACTCAATGAATACTACTGTTCTTTCTTTAAAAAAACTTTGCATTGTAACATTAGCTTCCTCCTTAAGGCAAATTAATTAATCATCAGTAAATTGAAGCTTGTGATTCTGCACATAACTACAAATATTCACACTGGTTAAGAAATTTTTTTGCTGATAAAAAATGGATAGGGCAACCTTTTATAATGTGCTGCCCAAAGAACGGGCAGTTACTGTAAATAAGGCAATGCCTAATAAGAATAAACTTAAATTAATAAAAATGAAATATTCCAGTTTCTGGAATTTTCAGTGCTTCAGCTATATAATTCTAAGGATCCCCTCACTAAATAATAAAACATAGGACTTTATATTTTTTATAAATTTCAGTTACATTAATATAACGATCCTGCGTTACTATAAGAATTGTATCTCAAGGCTCTCCTAGATCTGTAAATTCTTCTTGCCTGATCAGAATGTTCTGTTCAGTTTAATTACATTGAAACAGTTACTAGATGAACACAACCCAAATTTGCAAAAGGCAGGAATGTATGGTTTATATGTAAATAAGCCACATGCAGCAATGTTAGGTTGCTAATAACTTTCCAGATCCAATACCAAACCCATTGCAAAATTGTTGAAATCGTGTATGCTTGATGTTAACAGGAGTCTCAGAAATAACATCTATACATGATGATTGCCTATCTGTTTTTTTTTTTTAATTCTGACCTTCCTTCTAAAGAACTTGTTATGGCTTGTATGATTCTGTGCCATCCTCTATCAATTTTATCCTTATGCCAGCTGGGTTTAGAAATCAGGATTTGGCTGACTTCATTAAGTTTCAGGGCTGAACACTGATTTGAACATATATTAAGCAAGTTTCTGGAAGGGACAGAAAGAAAGAGAAAGAAAGGGAGGAAAAAGTCAATGAGTTATATGGATAGATTGATGGATAGATACATGGAGGGAGGGAGGGAGAGAAAAAAGAAAGGAGAGGAAGGAAGGTGTCAGATCTGTGTATCTGTCATTTCTTCAGTGGAAGAAGAAGGGGGGGTGCTGATAAAGAAATCCTTTCTTGATGTAACCTGAATATATTTAATCTTATATCAAATTTGTATAACCCACACATGATACGATGGAGGGAGAAAAGCCAGATGGCCAGAACTATCACCTCTGAGAGGCACAGCCAGGAGATGAGAAGATCATAAAAATTCCACAGTGAGATTGTACAGTACTTTGGGAATCTCTTGAATAGTTCGTTCTAAAAAGGGGGTGGGGGGAAATTAGGGATGCCCTGGGAAACTGTGAAAAGATCGTTCCTTACAAGAGGGGTGGGGAGGAATTAACATCCTGGCTTTTGTTTCACCAAATACACATCAAGATAAGGGGAGGAGTTCTAAACTCCCTTATGTATCCCTGTATGCCTGAGAGACCTCAGACACTGCTTTGAACTCCTACAGGAATTGTCTCATCTCAATAAAGAATTCCTTTGTGATACGTTTGGATACGTTTTCAGAAGTTCATTCTAGTTGAGTGAATGGGAGAAGTTCTGTAGCCTGACAGAAGGACACAAACCCTGGTTTCAGAAGACTCTTTGAAACAGCACAGCAATCTAGGGCTAAAAGGGATCTCGGAGGTAATCTTCTAGTCCAACCCCCTGCTCCAGCAGAAGATCCTTACAGAATCATAGAATAGCAGGGTTAGAAGGAAGTGTGTGTGTGTGTGTGCATGGCTGTCAAAACTCCAAAAACAGGTCAAGTAGCTCTGGGGAGGTCAGTATATCTCTTACTACTCTCCAAATGCAGTGGTGTATCATTATGATTTTCAACTTACCAACACAAGAAGCTGGTCTTCCGCTCCAAGCTTTATTATCCATACATTGTACTACTCTATCTCCTTTTAACTGATATCCTGGTGAGCAATAATACTCACACCTAGAATTAAAGTATGCACCATCAACACACTTGAATCCTCCATTAGGTGGCATAGAAAGTGTTGGGCAGCGTTTTTCTGTAAGAGAAAATCAACATTGATTACTGAAGACATGTTTATTACTTTCTATCAGGCTCTACATTATACTGCACTGTATTTTACAATATCATGAGAAACAAAATCATTTTTGTATGAAAGCAGTACAGAGACATAGAAGTAGTCTGATTGGCTTGATGATGCAACAGAAAGGTTGTGATATACAGTTTTTGATGTAATAATTTCTATAGAGAATAAAACATGGGTAGCATTTTCTATCATGTCCAGTCCACAAAGGCAGGTGCATTTCTTATAAAGGAATCTGTATTATAGAATAATTGAGGTGAAGTAAATTTGTGGCCATAGATCCTTTCAGAATCTACTGTGTTCCTCCAATTCTTACTGGAAAGTTGAAGGGCCTTATTCCTCATAGTGTGAGACAAAGTTTGATTGGTTGCTAAGCAAAGGATGAATTGGCTTGAATTTCATAATGGCACTGCATTAGACAATAATCCTTTAAAATTCAGAAGGAGAACAACTTTCAACTACAATTTATTCCCAATTCCTCAGGTGGAGAAAATTGCTAAACTTTCCAAACAATCACCTCTTTTCTCAGAGTGGATCTATTTACCTTAACTCATAGCAGGTGACTTCCTCATTTTGCTGGCACTCCTGAAGGTTGTTTATTTGTGCTTGACTATATCTAGAGCAAATCTGGATTAAATTGGAGCATGGGGGCAGAGATATACTGAGAGTTCTGAAAGGCATCCTTTGTAATTCTCTGTGGAAATGAAATATTTCTATATTTGCAACATGTAGAAGCAAAACGTTGGTGATTTTGCATAAAGAAACTGAGCTCTGAACAGGAAATAATTTTACTGCTGCCTTGCTTTTACACAAGTACAGCATGGATGGTCAGAAACAAAAAGAAACAGGACCAAACACCAAATCTACAAAAGCACTGCAAGGAGAAAAAATGTCTTTTATTTTTCTTATTGAAGTCTGAAATATTTTCCTTTTGTCTTTTTAGTACTGATGTTTATATTTATTGTTATGTATTTCTTGCAACTCCTTTCCCATGGAAAGCTTAAAAATGACAGTATAATTTTTTTTATAAAAGTTACATTAATTACACTTAAAATAAATCCTTAAAGCTACATGTGCATATATTTAAAGCAGCCTATATAACCATATAGAGACATAAATGAAATTAATTACAACAAATATTCCCAATGCAATTTAAAACAAAACCCACATAATTTCTTCCCTTTGGAATATATAGGAAGACTAAAAAAAGTATTCTGTTGTATAAAACTTTCAGCTTTTTAACCAGCATAGAAAAAAACCTCCACTGCTAAAAGTTTCTTCTGTATGAGCAAAGAATTCCATAACTAATTTTTATTCTGCTAAAACAGTAACTAGTAAAAGCCCCACTAAAATTCAATTATATATGGCCAAGAGCAATAGGATCAGAAGCAAAGAACTTCTAAACAAATCTTCAGGAAAAAATGAGCCACTTACGTTTGCAGAAAACTTTCCCAGACCAGCGTTTGTTTGACTGGCAAATAAGATGTTGAGGACCATGAAGTTCATAACCTTTCTGACAATGAATATCACATGTGGTGCCCAAGACATTTCTGTAATACCTTTCCTGAGGACTTCTGCAATTTGCATAACCATATTTTACCTTGATAGGAGAGCACCACGGTGTCTCTAGAAAGAGAAACCACAGGACAAAAACCAACAAAGGAAATAAGAACAGTAGAATTAAAACTAATTATGCAGCTCATGTGTTACACAGGAAAACAAACTATATAATCAAACGACCTCACTCTCCAACATTACAGAATTGAAAATTGTGACTTTCTCTGTATGTTCCAGGAATTATTATATAAAAAATTATACAAACACTGAACTATTAAAATCACCAATTTGTACTGATGTAAGGACTGCCACCTTAATTTCCTGTTGTAAGTCTGCCACCAACTGGCCAGTTACAACAAATATTTTTTTTCTCTTTCAAAAAGAATGTGGATTGAATTTGCACCAAAATGGATAAAATATTGTATATGTTTCTTGCTATCCTATACTTATTTGCCTGAGAATATGATGTATGAAATAAACAGACAAGTATAACACGACCCCGTTTTATTTTACATAAAATATTTCCATCTTAGTCCCATGTGTGCTTTGTACTCTGTTCTTCAAAAAGAAAAAAAACTTTAATTTCTTTTAAACCAAATTAGAGCATTAATTTGTTTAACTGTGATACCAGCTGATTCTATTTCCCCTAATATTTAACCCATTCTCAAAAGCTTAGGAATTTGTTTAAGACAAGTCTCATTTGATTAATGGCTGGCACACTTAATTTTTTTTTAACAAACTTTATTCAGTTTTTCACCTTAAAAACAAAAATCTCTTTTTAGTGGACAACATGTTTCTGGGTCAACACCTTTACCTACAAATATGACAGCAATTATACATTCATACATGCATACTTAATTCTATTATTACCTTTTCCATTCCAAATTTTCAGTAAGGAGAGAAACACATTAATTCTAGCCTCTTTCACTAATCTCAATCGAAACATCTTTTTGTTTCATTTCAATTATTTCAAATATAATCCTTTAATATTTATTTTAAAAATAAAGATAAACAATATGTGTTTGCCTAGTAATAACAATAATAAAAAAGTTACCAATGTCTCTCCTTGTTTTTAATAGTCTATATTAACTTATTTAGTTGGTTCCTTAGTCTCTCATATTCCCTTTCCATTACATATTCTTTTTATAAATTCTAGATTAATACAAATTTTAACACTAAAAAAAAAAAAAAACAAGTATAGGTTTCCCCCCTTTTACTGTTTTGAGTGTGACACTTCAATGATTAAAATATACCTTTATTCCCTCATCTTAATTCCCAATAAACCATTATTTTTAAGAAGTTACAATAATAATCATTACATCTTTTCACTTGGATTCCACAGCATATTTTCCTCCATTGATTTCTAATAAGAGTTATCAGTATCTATATTACCCTACCGTGTTTCTCACAAAATAAGGCCAGGCCTTATTTTTTTTTGACCCCCGAAAAAACAGCTAGGCCACGGCTCGTTTCCCAGCTCTGCCCAGCCCGCACGGCTCCGGCACAGCCCTGGTGGGATGAGCGGAGGGTCCGCTGGGGAGGCACTCGCTGCCTTGGTGAGAGCTCTGCCGCCGGGAAGGCCCGCCTGTCAGCTGCGCTGGATGCCCCAGGCGAAGCTCTTCGCGCTCTGCCTGGCACAAGGCAGGGATGGCGGCTGGGTGCTTCTCCCGAGGTGGGACGATCCTGCGCTGCGGCCCCGGGAGATTTGCCTCCCCACATGGGGTTGGGCTGCCCTCTCGGGCAGGGCCTTCGAAGGCAAAGGGAAGGCGGCGACAGGAGCACCTGAAGCCGACTGTCTCCGCAGGGTTCCAGTTGCAGGGAGGAGCCCTGGCTGGCCGCACGTGGCTGTGCCAAACGCTGCGGCGTTGCTCTAATGCCGTGGCAGCAAGGGAGAAGGGAAAGCAACAGTGGCGGAAGGTCTCCTGATATGAAGTGCCCCACCAACGCAGGCAGCATCATATCTGGGCATGCAACAAAAGTACTTCTTAACGGCAAGCCCCCCCACCATCCCTCCCATTTTGCATGTTTAATATGGGCCTTAATTTGGGGGGGGGGGCTTAATTTGATTTTATGCCAATAAAACATGGTGGGGCTTCCTATTGGTGGAGGCCGTATTGTTGGAGAAACATGGTATTTTCTAAATATTTTTAATTGCAGAAATATTCTTATTACCCCGTCACCCTGCAGAATCCCCTTTTTAATTCATCAACCATTATCTCTGAAAAAACAATTTCTTTTCAACATTTTACTATTTCCATATTTCTTTATTTTATACACCTGTTTCTTACTGCTTCTCCTCCCCCTCTTTTCACCATATATTTTCTCATTCCAGTTCATATCCCTCTCTTTCTTAATATTTTCCTTTCCCCTTTTCTGCTGGGTCTTTCTGCCTTTCCTGACTTCACAGGTATTCCCCCTTTTGATTGCCTTCTTAAATCTCAACTTTTTAACCTTCCTTCTTTCCCCACTTCTTTGTAGTGTTCTTTGTGTTAATTGTCTATTTAAAATGCCTTCTCCTTGAATCGACTCCTCCTTCTTTGAAGCTCTTCTTGTTCTTCAATCGCCATATCCATTTTTTCTAACACAGAGCAAAGTGATTTGCCTCTTTCCTGTAGTAATTCTCTCATATTTTTAAGTTCCATTTTTAATTCCCGAAGAGATATCATCATTCTTATATTTTTTGATCGTTAAAGTCCCCCAAAACACACTTTTACTTTCCTTCTTTCTTCTTTCAATTTTCTAAAGTTCTCAGTTATTCCAGCCCAGGGTCTATACCAATCAATCCCATAGTCAATCTTTCCTTACTTTTTTCTTTAGTCTGGTTCTGCTTTCACTTTCTAAGATTCTTACTTTGTTTCAATATTTCTTTAATGTTATATCCACACAAGTTCATTCAGAAACAGGATGCTTTCCTTTTTGTTTGAGCTCAAGATTTTGTCAAAAGGTGACACTCTCCATTATACAAAGTCTTCACCTTTTTCTTCTATTTTTTTACTGAGGGTTTTTCGAACCTCAATATTCCAGCACAGTCCAGTCTCCAATTTGTAAACTTTATTATTATTATTTTTTGACAATCTTAAGTCCAGCTTTATTTTATGCCTGTTTATTCCTAAAATATTTTAGTCCAATTTAGTTAAATCTTTAGTTCCAGCTTCTTCCTTTCCCAGTTCGAAGCCCTGCTTAGCTGTCAAAAATATTTTCTTTTTTTTTTCCTGTCCCTTTGTAATTTTGCTGCTCAGTTTTCTTTTCTTAAAAATTCTATGTTACCTTAATCCTGGGGTACTTTTGTTTAGTTGCATTGCCCAGTTGTCCTGGTTCAGATGTTATCCACCTCTTTCTTCTCTCCTGCACAAATCTTAATCCATCTGAGTCCTCCTCTTCGGGGTGGCCATTTTAAACCACCACTGCTGTTGTCTTCAGGGGGAAAAAGACCAAGCCCAGGACGGGAGATGCGGCTCCCCTCAACCTGGCTTGCAGCTTCCCCTTACTCTGCCACCCCTCCAAGGCAGCTTCAGCCCCTAATCGTAATGATCGGGGCTCTCCAATGAAAGAGCACGGACCATAGCTGCAGAGAGTTGCAATCTACAGTCTATCAGTAAGAAGGCTCTGCCAGAGGTGGTATTCAGCAGGTTCTGACCAATTCTGGAGAACTGATAGTGGAAATTTTGAGTAGTTCGGAGAACTGGCAAATTCCACCTCTGACTGGCCCTGCTCCATATATTCTTTGCCTCCCGAGTCCCAGCTGATCAGCTGGATCTTCTTTTGTTGCCCTTTACAGGAGAAGGGAGCTGGAAAGCAGGTTAGTGGAGTGGGGAGGGAATCTCTATGTCAACAGTGCATATCTTCGAGGCAATCTAGTTTAAACAATACTTCAGGAAAAAGAATGAAAAAAAGGTTCACATGGCCAAACCTTCTATGAAAACATCCACAGCAAAGGCAGAAAGGAGACAGAGGTTACATCAAGATTATTGATGTAGAAGCGTATTTCAAAGTTTATATGGCAAGAGAAAAAAACCCAAGAATTAGATATAAACTACTGCAAGGAGTTAAGGAAAGAGGGGTTTGGGTTTACCAGATTTGAAACTTTATTTCGATGCTTGTTGTTTGGTCTGGCTAAAGGAGTGGGTGAACCTCCAGAATAAAAGGCTACTTGATTTAGAAGGTCATGAATTAAGATTTGGATGGCATGGTTATTTATGGTATGACAAGGTTAAAGTAAATGTTGATTTTAACAATCACTTTGTTAGACATGACATTCTAAGAGTTTGGAATAAATATAAAATAAGGTGGACTGGCGAAGTTGGACTGGTGGACTTATGGCAAAATAATATCTTTTAATTTTGGCGATCCTATCCTCAAACCTAAGGAAGAGCTAGAATCAGAAGGGCATGTCCACCATTGGTTCACATATTTACAAGTGAAAGAAATATTTAAATTAGACAAAAAGAGCTATGGGTTTGACTTTTAAAATAATTGGAAATCCTAATTTATAGTAGTGATGAACATATCATTGCTAAGTTCTATAAAACTTTATTGAATTTGATGGAAAGTGAATATGTAAAGCATTGTGTGATTCAGTGGGCAAGGAACTTTGGATATAATGTAAAGCTTGAACAATGGGAAAATATATGGATGAAAGGTTTAAAATTTACACTAAATTTAAAAGAAATTTTTGTAAGATGATGTATCATTGGTATTTAACACCAGATAAGTTATTAAGAATGTATAAAGGTGGAGAGTAGGGCTGACGTTGTGACAGTATGACAAACTTTCGGGGCTCCAGGACTAGTGTCGATATCTCAGTAGCTGGACAGTCCTTTTGGACCAGAACTGTCCTGGAGAGACGGTGGTTGCAGTATCCCTGCTGATCCCCGGGATACCGCAAAGTCCCTGGTTGATCCAGGAGAAGCTCTCCATTCTGGCTGTGGAGGAAGCGGCCATTGAAGTTGCTGAAAGGTTGGGACAGCTCCAGAACAGAAGAAGAAGAGGAAAGAAAGTGTGTTAGCTTTGGGTGAGATTCAATTAACTTTTTTTTTTTTTTTGAAAGAGAACACCCTAAGGAGAAAAGA